ACGAACGTACGAACATATGAATGACGAACGTACGAACATGCCAACCAACCTACCAATGCACATAACTTTCAATACACTAATAACAAACGAATACTCTGCTGTTTTACTCATACGCCTTCATATCTGTGTTACACTTTATTGTTGTGTTAACTAAAGTTTGATAAGTTTTTCTTTTGTTTTCAGGCGAAGCCTATTGGAATAATACCAGGAACAGGGATGGCATTAGAAATTCACGTCAGAGGAGTCGAAAAGGTACTAAGACAAGAAATTGGATTTTCCTTTTTTTGTTCAATTCTCGCGGCAATAGATAAGTTCGCAGCATATTTTCGTCCCACGGTTGTTGTTCACTGATTTGAGTTGTACTATTTCCTAGCCGTATATTTTTGGAGGAATCATTGGCAGGGATGATGTATTTGAGAGCATCAAAGTGACAGGAAGAGCAGCAAATATACCATGGGCTTTAATGTGAAATGATGCTCAAATGAAGTAACTATAAATTAACTTTTAATATGTCACATACCTACGCCTTCATATACCTCCTAGCCTGCGTAGCTTGGCGGTTTAAGCAGTTTGAGCGCGAAGAAAGCGGTGAAGCCGCGAAAACGAGCGGCGAAGCCGCCAGGAGCCTGGGAGAGAAACAACCGCCAAGCTACACAGGCTATATACCTCCCGTCCTTGTTGCAACCAAAAAACGGTAAAAACTCAATGTAAAAAGGAAAATATTTAGCTAGCTAGTGGTGAGTTATATATTGAGATTTTAATAATGATCTGAGGTGCATATAACTTGTAAGGTATTTAAATAATTGATTAGAAACCCCTCTAGATTAATTTAGGTACTGAACTACTTGTCTCGCGGTTGAAAGAAAAACTGGATGTTGTATAATCAGGGCTTCTTTCACAAACGGTGACGGAGAATTAAAAGAAAAAAAATGAAATAAAGGGAACGATATAAATGCAGATCTCCGCAAATCGGTGGGTAACATTTGCTTTGTTGTAGTGAAAAAAATACCAACACTGAGGTTAGCCGACTTTTGCAGGCTTAATCATATAAAGGTAATGTGCAAGTGAATATATGAAGGATTATATAAATGGTATTGACATTCAGGGTTTTTTTTAACTTTCTTAGAGAGAGAAAAAGCAACGCTATAAAGATTTATTGTCTCTCAGTTAGTACGCGGGCTGTGATTGGTCAATTTGGCGGGTCGTACTCTCCTGTACGGCCCGCTAAAATTTAAAGTTTGTTTTGTTGCCAAACTGTTTCGTGATTTATCGATGGGTGTTCTTAACTTTTATAGCAAGTGAAAGTTTAAAACTTCCTTATACTCTGAATTATTTAATAAAGCGTGCTAACGACTTGAAAACAGTTTCAAACTGACTCGTTTTGCTTTCGAGGTGCGTCAGAAATTTGAAGCCTTTCCGAGTCCGCGTGAATAGAAATCGTTTCCGAACCCGTCAGACACACAATAGAGATATAATAAATATCTTACTAACCTCGTCTTCTCGGTCCGTACAGTAAGTTACGGATCCTCGTTTTTTCCTCTTCGATTTATGACCCGTGCGCTTCGCGCTTGGGCCATAAATGGAAGGGGAAAAAACTCGGTCCATAACTTACAGTACGAACCTCGAACTCGGTTAGTAAGAGGTATTTATACCATGCCATTGAAGATACAGCCAATCAGAATAAAGGAAAGCTGTTGTATATTCGACGGTATTACATCTAACCTTCCCATCATGCGCCGCGCGTATGTCGCATTGATTATGTTGGCCACTGTCTTTTCTATGGCATGGTATAAAATAGTTATGTTACGCTCTCTCATGGTATACCATGAAGTATCCCACTTCTCACTTGTATTTTCTTGGTATAAGTGGTGTACACTCGCCAAGAGGTCCGCCTGTATACCGAGAAAACACAATTGCCTCGTGTGATATTTCACGGTATACCACTCGAAAGCGTTGCATAACTAGTATATATCAAAAGGTTGTCGTACGTATTTTGTGTAAGGTTTTGATATCTTTCTATACTACGATGCAACCGCTCTGTTTTTCTCTGCCGTTGAGCGCGCGAGAGACCGCGCGCGAAAGACTGCGCGAGTGAAACAGCGCGAGAGGAAAATCCTTCCGTGTACCAGTTTTTTCGCCCGTTTTCTTCCCGCTTTCTTCGGAGTCGCACTCAACAGCCTGAAAGAAAAGAAGGGCTGCTTATTGTCTTATATCTAATGAAAAATAACAAGGGAAAATTTTTCTCGCGACAAAAAACTTTAAGAGAATGTTACATTAAATGTTGCAGGAGTAAGTAACCTTTACCTACTAAACTAGCAACTAGTTCCAGACTCACACACCAGGTGTGGGAAAAACGAGCAAAAGCTGCCAAAATTAAACGTTATTAAAGCGCTTTTTTTGAAAACCACAGAAGAGACTAAGTAATTCCTTATTCATAACATGCCGAATTGAACATTTTTTCTAAATATTTAGTAAATTTTGGGAATATATTTATATTAGTTTTAAAAACAATGTGGCTATGTAAAAGATATTTTATATGGTGTAGAAGTTTCTTAGAAATTGAGAATTAAAGGTTTGAGAGAAACGTGACTGATATATATATATTTCCTCGAAGTCCACGACAGGAAGACAAACATGTGGGATGAGAGGATTACATGTAACTTCCCGTTTGATATATTGTCGTTTAAAATTAGGCTTCTTTTCGAAGCAAAAACTCTGCTGTTGGTGAAACACATCATTAATTCGTGTACGAGATTTTTGGCCGTGAACTTTTTGCCCCGAAACATTCGGAAAAACGAAAAACTGCACTCAGTGTGTTAATGTCTAATGTGGAAGGAAAATCCCTTACCTCCCCTCCCTGCTGAATGTGATTGTTTAGTAGTTTCCAGTTTCCAATCGGTGCTTTCTGCGAAAATTCGTGGCGTTTGACGCAGCTCCCTCCGAAACGATCTAAATCGTAAACTATGTGGACAGTGAAAGGACTAAGAACAAACAGCTATGGCATCGTTTCTCGTAAGTTGCTCTCTTTACAACGAAGGAACTTCACTCCGGAGAAAGCAGAGCGAGTTATGGCGATCCGGCGAGAAGACATCAATGTCTGGGAGCGACGCGCTCCAATCGCTCCTTCACATGTTGCTGAACTTGTACATAATGGAATAAAAGTTCTTGTACAGCCTTCGACAAGACGGGCATACACGATGGATGAATACGAGAGAGCAGGAGCCATCATAACAGAAGACTTGACTCCGGCTTCGTTGATTATAGGTGTTAAAGCTGTTCCGATCGACTTACTCATCCCGAACAAGACATACGCATTCTTCTCACACACGATAAAAGCACAAGAAGCGAACATGCCTCTTTTGGACGCAATGTTTGAAAAGGTAACGATAGTTTAATTATTGATAATTAAACGGCAAAACTGGTTTGAATTTGGTCATTGGTGTCGATATTTGTAGATCGATCGACGTCGATTATTCCAACAGAAAGGCCAGGTTATGCATGCGCGAACTGATAGTTTTACTCGGGCTTCGAGCTGATTCCTTTCATAAATGTTTCTCTCTATCATGTAAAGTCACAGTTAAAATCTGGTCATCTCTGACTTAAGACTGTTAACCTACACGTATTGACACATTTCGTATGAATTCGGATTGCGCCCTGCACCACGTGCAACATATATTCCACACCTTTGTAACTTTCGTAATCCCAAGTTGAAGCTTCCATATTGTTATGAAAATTTCCTTGTTCGCTCGCATTAAATATAGTCTCTTACTTTTAGAATATACGGATAGTTGACTACGAAAAAATGGTAGACAGCAAAGGACAAAGAGTTTGTGCTTTTGGCAAGTTCGCTGGAGTTGGAGGTGCGTAAGTTTTATAGATTTTCTCGAAAACAAAATCGTAATGTGTTCTTTGTCTCTCGTGATGTTGTGGATATGACTTGGGGGTGTGTTTGGGGGTTTGGTCATCAAGTGGTCTGGAGCGTGTAGGAATTGATCATGCAATCGATTCCGGTCAGTGAGGAAACTTTCGACTTTGGTAATTTTGCCCCAAGTTGTTCATTCTTAAAATTTTTTGGTGAATATTTTCATGACTGGAATTTTTTTTTACTAAAAATGAAGTTTCAAACATTTTGTTGTTTTTTTTATAGAAATTATTATCTCAAAATTTTGATTTGTGTTCATGCCCAAGCTAAAATCTTGTAAAACCGATTGCTAGTGGAAAGAATAGCATGTTTTCACATTGCAGATGCCTTTTTAAATAGATTAATAGAGTTATTTTAGCTTGTATCCATGCAGAAAATGTCAAAAGTGTACAAAAATGGGTTTTGCAAAAAATCTCCAGGTGTTCATCATGTTCAATAGCCTTTTAACCTGTTTATAGTTGTTATTTTCTGCCTCCTTATTTAACTATGCTCAGATAGGATGTCATTTGACTTTCGGTAAGATGTTGATAATCTTCTTAATTTTTTTTGATAATTTTATTTATTTAGGTATGATAAATATTCTTCATGGCCTTGGATTACGACTTCTAGCTTTAGGACATCACACTCCTTTCATGGTATGGTACCTTTCTTGGTATAATCATAACGTGCTTCTCTTAGTGTTCTTGTGTGTACTTTTTTCACTTTTTTTGTCTTCCTTTGGTTTTGCACACTCACGCTTTTAGCTCTGCTTAATTAGCTACCTTTTATTCTAAAGTATTCATTTGTACAGCATTTTTATTTTTTGTTAAGTCTTGGGTATCTTTAAGTTAGTCCTTTATATAGGCATTATTGGCTTCCTGGGCTAATCCTTGCTTTATAGAATGATATTTTGTAAATATATTTATAAATGGCAAAAAACAAACAAACAAACAAACAAACCAACAAACAAAAAACAAACAAAAAAAAATTGGAGCAAACAGTGCTTCAGTTTCATGGCCTAAATAAAGATCCAGTGGATGAAAGTTAAAGCCTTGCTATTATCAACTTGTTTGTGTGTTTTAGCAGGTCACCCTACTCACATAATAGACATAGAAAACATGGAAACTGGAAATATGTGTAGCCTATTAGGTAATGTTTGTGTAGTATTAATGTATTGACTTTCTAATTTTTCACCTGTCTCAAAGTATTTGGGTGCAACTCACAATTACAAGAACAGCAGAGCAGCCAAACTTGCCATCTATGAACTTGGAGAAGACATCAAGGCTGGTAAACTGCCTGCTCATTTTGGACCTCTCTCATTTGTATTTAGTGGCTCAGGGAATGTGTCCCAGGTTTGTTTTATTTTACATCTTAAAAATGTGATTTAATATTGCATGTTAGGCTGATGAATTAGAGTGTGTTACTAGGGTGGTGACCTCATGGTTAGTGTGCTTGTCTGCAGATCAAGTGGTCCGGGCTTGAGCCCTGGCTGAGGATATTCTCTTGTGTTCTTGGGCAAGACCCTTTACTCTCACAGTGCCTCTCTCCACCCAGGTGTGTAAATGGGTCCTGGCAGATTTACTGCTGGGGGTAACCCTGTGATGGACTAGCATCCCATCCGGGAGAGGGGGTTAGAAATACTCCTAGTCGCTACATGCTTTAGAAACTGGGATAAGCTCCAGCCTGATGGGCCACTTGGCTCATATACACAGTCTTTTGCCCTGCCACCCTCACCCCTGTGTTTCATTTTGCAATATAAAATGTCATTTAATATCGCATGTTAGGCTGATGAATTACAGTGTAGAGTGTGCTATAAGGTGGACTAAATAAATTTTTGCTGTGACTATGAGGGCGTCCTGAAAGGTGCAGGGTAATTTCACAGCCTACTTTTCCCCCAGATCCCAGTTCCATTCCCATTTTTTGTTTCTCAGTCCCAGTGACCCAAGTCCCATTTTTCCACAGAAAAAAATAGGCAAATCCCAGTTCCCAAATTACTTTTTCAGGCCTCTCCTGTGAGGCTCATGTACATTTCTTTGTGGAGATAATTAGCTCATGTTAACCCCTCTGGCTCTATATACATCTGATTAATAGTGAAGACACATGTAGATAAATAGATAGGTAGTTTATAGAACCATTAAAATCACAGCTCTAGAGCTGAATTAGGTAAAACTTTGCACATGAATTCAAATAATAAAATTATGCTAATATGTGATCCATAAAAATTGTCAAATAAAATTGCTTATATAGAAAAACCTATTCTTTAGTCTGTTTTGCAAATAGGAATGTGAATTATTTCTCAGGTTAAATTAAACTACATCTGGTTGGCTCTGGTAAAAATCTGTATAATTTTTGATCAGGATTACTACTGATATCCAGAAACATTTGGACTGTTTGAGACTGTCTCTGATCAAAAATAGTGTTGTTGGATAGGCCACACAGTGATTACTTTTATTTAATGGTTCTCCGTAGGGTGCCCAGGAGATGTTCCAGGAACTTCCACATATCTATGTTGAGCCACATGAACTGAGAAAAGCTATTCAGAGCACTGGTAAAAAATTCCAGCGTAAACTGTAAAATTAATATTTAATTTGGTGCTGTTGGAACATCTGATTATCATGCTCAATCATGGGATTATTTTCCCACTGATTATTATGTCAGTCTTGGATTAATATTGTTCCTCTGTCTTTTGAATGTTTTCATGGTCATATGATTATTTTATAGACCATCGGAAAGTCATTGGTACTGTTGTGAGCCGCGAAGACTATCTTGTACCCAAAGCTGGTGGAGTGTTTGATGCAGAGGAGTATGATGCACATCCTGACAGATACAGATCAACATTTGCTGAAAAAGTTAGTTTAATTTATTTTTATATACAAAGGAAATTGAAAAGAAAATTATGACTGTAATCCTTGACAGCTCAGAGATAAAGAGTTAAATTGTAGTCAAAAAGCGCTAGATAATAAGATTCCCTTTTTTATCATTAATTTTGAAAGTGCTTAAACGAATTTACTGAATTTCATCTTGTGGCAAGGCATGCATGTGCGTGTACATGCAGCCACAAAAATGCTAACTGAACCACACAAAAGAACCACATTAAAGCAAATCAAAAAAAAAAAATTCATTGTGACCTGGCAAGCTAAAAAAATGGTACTCAGAATAATGGCCACCTTCTCCCCCCTGTAAAAAAATAATGGTCTATCTTTAACTTGCTTGAGTTCTAACTTTAGGTAAAAGGTAAAAGGCACTTTGGCACTGCCAGGATTGGTGGAGGGGCCTGTGGCAGGGTTAATCAAAATTAAGCTTTTAAAGCAAAGGGTGAATAAATGGAATTTTTATAAAATGTACCAGGAATGAAGCACAAATGTTTGGGATGACTGTTTCTTATCCATCTTATAGTCACTGTGGTTGTTTGTTTTGTTTATCTGCAGATAGCACCTTATATGTCTGTGCTGGTAAACGGCACCTACTGGGCTCCTAATGTACCACGCCTTCTTACTTATGATGATGCAAGAAATCTTCTTAAGACAATGAACAGGTCCAGTGCTTATGGTGGCTGTCCAAGCCTGCCTCATAGATTACTGGCAATCTGTGACATCTCAGCTGACACTGAGGTAATGGTAGCTTTAATTACATTGTAGTTTTTGCAGTTGTTTTGCTGAAGACAGTTGTTGGACATTCCTTTACCTTCAATTTAGTGTACCAGCAAAACAGCAAGACCAGACATCTTTAATCTCACTTGTTTTATGATCATTGACAATGGTGCTACATTCTCTAGGGCTCTTTGGAATTCATGACAGAGTGTACAACAATTGAGTATCCATTCCAGCTGTACAACATTAAGTCAGGAACTTCACAGATTGGGTAATTACATTAAAATAAATAACAGAAACTTGATATTTTACAGTAATATAGACAACACCTTCTCAATTCCTTGTTCATCAAGCAGATTTGGTCTCAGTTTTGAACTTCACACAGTTGTAGCCATCAGTAAGACAACTTGATAGAATTTTATTAAATAAAATTTTGTTATCATCATTATAGAATGGCTGGTGATGGAGTTCTTATTTGTTCAATTGACAATCTTCCTGCTCAGCTTCCAAGAGAAGCTACTGATTACTTTGGCAAGCTCCTGCTTCCGTGGCTTCCAGAAATGGTAAGTGAACAGGACATTAACAGTTTCTCTTCAAACTGGTAACTTAATAATTTTGTGCATGTTTCAGGTTGTAAGTTAGGACACACAACTGTAGTGTATTCACTATTATCTTGTGAGACAGTCTGCAAAACCTTTTATGTCTTCTCTCCTCTCCTAAAGTACTGAGGTGTATGTACAGCTGTAGCAGTTTAACCTGCCAGGCAGCTGATTGGGGTTTTTATTGATATTTATTTTCCAGATTGATTCTCATGCTACTGATTCATTTGAAGAGCAGCATCACTTATCAGACACAATAAGAAATGTGAGTATGATCTAATAAGTACTTCTATGAATGAGTTTTGATTGGCCAGTGATTGCCTTTTAAACACAGATCAACTATAGTTCAAGACTGAAGAGCTAGCAATTACTGTGTCCTCAAAGTTTTTAGAGTGAAAAACTCCATTTTATTGATTTTAATTTAAAACATATACAGTAGCTAAGTTAACTTTATATTTATTCTTATATTTACTGTGGCTTTATACAGTAGCTAAGTTAACTTTATATATATTCCATTTACCAGGCTATTATCACTTCTAATGGATCACTGACAACTAACTACAAATACATCGCAGATCTGAGGAAAAGGTAAACCAAATATACTTGTAAGTTAGGGTGAATTTCTAAGTGTTCACTTCTCTTTTGATTTAAAATGCTGGGAGCTTGGTAGCCGGTATTATACATTAAGTGCTCAGGCATCCAGGAGGATTAGAAATGCATTCTTGTAGAAACTTATTAATTATATTCCCCAGATCTTATAATATTATTGGCAATAAGCTGCCAGGCTTGAACTAACTTATCAAGAAGACTGAGTTTAATTCCAGGAATATGGAATTTCTAATATTAGTATATAGTGAGCTGTTCTTTAGCACTGAAGTCATATTTTGTTTCTGTTTGTGCCACTTTCCTTAGGCAAGAGGAAGCTAAAGCAAGAGCATTGGGACCAAATGTATCTGTGCCAATAGCACAGAGAGTTCTGTTACTTGGGTCTGGGTTTACTGTGGCCCCATGCATTGAATATCTTACAAGGGACAAAACTCTTGCAGTCACAATTGGTGAGTGACAGTTTGTTTAAAGTTGACATTTAAAAGCATGACGACAAGAGTGCCAGCTCATTTATCTTAGGGGTCATGAATGGTAAAGTTGAGGATTTGTTAGATGGTGTAACAAAAAAGTATCTTTTCTGCAATTAAGCCCAAGAGTTTCTTAGCATTGTAAAAGGAGGCATCCAAAAATAAAGTTGTTAAATACATTAAATTTGACTAAAGTTCTGCAGCAAAGATATAATATGAATGCCAGTTGCATACCCAACCATCTGATCTTGTCAATATGGTACTTTGATTACAATGTAGTTGTTTCTACTATTCAACACATTTCAGCCTCTGATAGTATCACTGAAGCAGAAGCACTTGCAGCCAAGTACAGGAACACAACTCCAACCCTCCTGGATGTCACACAATCAGAGGAAAAGTTGAACAAGTTGATCCAGCAACATGATGTTGTAATTAGGTAAAAGTGTATAGTGTAATGATTAATACTTGTGATCACCTCTATCTTTTTATGCTTGTACACTTCATGCAGCTTGAATAAGGTGAATAGCTTGAGCATTGTTCTCTTTGATCATCTCTTCCTAGATGGGATGCAGGGCTCAACTTTCAGGGAAAAACCTTGGGGCCAGCTGGCCCCTAAGTTTTCAGATTTAGTCGCCAGCAAAAGTATTTCAGTGAAAAGGGTGAAAAGTTAGTCACCAGTGAAAAAGTGAAAAAAAAAAAATTGGTCGCATTGGCCACCCCAGTGGTTGCAATGTCAAGCTCTGGGGTGGGATCACATGAATAATTTCCCCCGTGAAGTAGTTTGCTTCAGTTTTTTTATTGTGTTTCTTAAGAATGCATTGATTTTGATGGCCAGCCTTAAACCTGGACCTCTTTATCTTGGAATCTATGCAGTTTCTTTCAGTCCAGTGCACCTCCTATAGTGTCTTTAAATAGGCGTTTCCAGTTTTGTTGATTAAAATATGCCATTTTGATTGCAGTTTGCTTCCTTACTCTTTGCATCATGTTGTGGCCAAGAGTTGTATCGCCTTTAAAAAGAACTTGTTAACAACAAGCTATGTACTGCCTGCCATAGAAGAACTACACCAGAGGTACCAGATAACATCAGTTACTGTAACATCATAACATGAATCAGTGAATCAAATCGCTTGTGAGCTCCTGACTGTAATTCAAAGTGTGCTATAATTGATTTAGACAATGTTTTCACATTTTTATGTTAGTTTAATCTCAGCTTCTCAGCAATAAGTAGCCAATAATCATTATAATGCACTCTATTGACTTGGCACAAAGTTTCTTATCTATCACTCTGACAAACAAAGGCTTTGATTGGCTGAATCAACACATCACAAGTATCACAGGAGGCCTGCTTATTCCTTCCTCCTCCCGTTCCCCTAATTGTTCCTCAAGAAGTTGGGAAATGTTGTGAAATTTTGGTAATTGGGAACTTCTAAATCCAGGGCTGAGCGTTGTCACTCCAGGTCCCTGCTTGCATGCATTTCTGGATAAACTACTGCAACTACATGTAACTGACAACCAAGATCAATACATGTATGTCACAAATTCTTGTGAAAAATTCAACAAGTTCAACAACTCACTGAATGGTAGTGGTACAATATGCAGTAAAATGTTGAAAGGGCTTGCACCACATTAAACTAACTACAGTCATCATTATATATGAATATGAATGTTTTATTGTGTTTTATGGAGCTTTGGATTTTTTCTGTTGAAAGTGCTGTTGATGCTGGAATAGCCATTGTGAACGAGGTGGGACTGGACCCTGGTATTGATCACATGTTAGCCATGGAGTGCTTTGATGATGTTAAAGCTGAGGGAGGAGTGGTATGCTGGACTATTTGACACTTTGAGCTTGATTGAACAGTCTTGTTAGTTACGTTGTTGAAGCAGTTTGATTTTAGTGTTAAACAGGTTTTCCCATGTGTAATGTGGTTTTCAGGAAGTGTTTTTAAAAATGAATAGGAAATGCCAGTTAACAAACAGATCACAGTCCAACAATTTCATTCTTCCAATGGATGGGTCTTAGCTTACCCGTGTAAGGTCACAAATCATCCACACTGATTGTCACACATTGTTTCACAATTGCAAGTACTTCACAACATAACTCCCTGTGTTTTTGATGATTTTCCTTATTCTCATCACCAGTCTTGTTGACAGTTTATTGGTAGTGTAATGAGAAATTACATGTACATGTAGACAAGAATCAATACTGCAACTAATGGACACCCTTATTCAGGTGTAAATTAACTGTACAGGGACTCCACTCATCTTTCTCTTATGTTATGTATAGATCAAGTCCTTTCGCTCATACTGTGGCGGACTTCCTGCTCCAGAGCACGCTGACAATCCTTTGAGATACAAGTTCAGGTACATGTATATATGCAAACGTGCTATAGTTTAAACAGTTTTTTTGTCAAATATGACAACAAAAAAAAAACTGTTACCCGTCAATCTCTATTTTTAAGAGGAAACTTTGTTAGGTTATTTTTAAATGTAATTTTTATTTTAGTTCTATTTGTAGTTTTAGTTTTAATTATCGTTTTAATGTTTCAGAGTTGGCGTGATGTCCATTGGATGTTGCTGACAAAATAATATTTAGATTTAGATTTAGATTTAGATATGTGGAGGTCATATACAGCATTTGCACAGAAGTCCTATACTGTGTGACACTTGTCTAACAGAAGGCAATTTCAAAACAACTTTCATAATGATCTCAGACACTCCACATAGCCAGTCAAAGATTTTAGCCTTGAACATGTTTGAATGTTTAAATCCTCAAAATTATTCTAAAAATTCTTGTTATCTATTTGTCTAAATTTAAAATTTTACTTTTGTTTACCCTTGTTGTGTGATATTTTGTTCACTAGTTGGAGTCCACGGGCTGGTCTACTGACAATTATGAACAGTGCTAAATATCTTTGGTATGGAAAGGTAAGCCGCCTGTCCTGCCAGATCTTTGGCATATAGTGTATTTAACACTGTGAAGCTTCTTAATCACTTCATTTGTACAATTAATGCAGGACACTATTCAAACACTCACGGCTAATGTTGGAAGAACAGTGGAAGATGTTTTCTGGTTTTTATACATTCACTATGTTTTTCAGCCTATCAAAAGCAAACCAAGCCCAATCATTTTGTCCTATCTTTTTCTTTGAGCTTTGTTTGGTTTATTGCATGTTACTTTTCCGCTGTGATTGGCCAGGTGCAGGGACGTAAATTTTGGTTACCTACGGTCACTATACTAACAGGTCGCATATGCTTGTATCAGACATCCTCTTTGACACTATTTCGTGCGTAATGCGTCTTCTTATAGCTTTCACCTCCGCAGAGGCTCCCTAGGGGAGGGGGAAGTGAATTGTGATTGGAAAGTCGCTCTGGGCACGTTGGGAAGTGGGAATGGGCAGGAGCCCCGCTTCTCTTCTCTCTTTTCCCTTCCCGGCGTTCCCCTCGCGGTTCCGTCATTCCTCTCCCCTGCCTCTTAACTACCAGCCCACACGGTCAAGGTATCACGATAGAGGCCTCGGCCGGAGAGAGAGTTCTTATATTGGTTTATGTTTCAGACTGTGGAAGTGGCTGCAGGTGGGGCTCTACTGGAGGAAATCAAACCAACAGACATGTTCCCAGGCTACAGACTGGAGTGTTACCCCAACAGAGACTCGACGGCGTATGGCGAACTTTACGACATCACCGCAGCGAGCACTATACTTAGGGGAACTCTCCGTTATGAGGTGCGGCGTACTTAATAAATGTTTTTATGAAATACCCCTGAGAAAATGCGTAAGTTGATTGGGGGAAAGCTGTGTTTGTATGACGCAGTACAATTCCATTAGTCTCATTGTTTGTGGCGTTTCCTTGACATGTATAATATAACATTTAAATTGCCTTGAAATGATGTTTTCCCTCTGAAAAAATCTAGACTTCAAATAATGAACAACAGTGTGCAAACTAAAACAAAGTGAAGCAGAAGAGTCAGTATTATCATTTGTGTGTAAAGTCAGCTCAAAAGGTATTGACGTTGGCAAAGTGTGGTATATTAATAGACCATTTCCGAATTACCGTTAGCCTCTTTCTCAAAGCGAGTCTTGGTGCCCATCCTTTCATATGAAAATGAAATTTCATTTACATGCAAATCAAATTTATTTTCATATGAATGGTTGTGCACCAGGCCTCGCTTTGATAGAGAGACTTAGGTCAACGTTGCGTAGGCCTGTCGACCTTTTCCTGATGGATGCAACTTCTTGGTTGGATTTTATTCTTCAGACGAATAAACTTCGATTTTGTTATTGCCCTGCTTGCGAGATATCTGCTATGCACTTGTTTTTGTAGGGATATGCCACAGCCTGTTTGGCTCTGTTACAACTTGGAATGTACAGTTCAACAGAACGACCTGATCTGGCCTTAGCTCACGAACAACCCTGGGTAAAATAGTGTTTCTTAACTTTAAAAGAGTTACATCTATTCACAATAGTGGAGTTTGCGCGTGTTGTTTTACAACGTGCTTTAACCGATCAGCGTGACGATGTTAAGTCACGTGTTGAACGAATCTTGATTTTGACTCACGTGACTTCTTCTCGCGCTTGGCACCTGTCACATGTCGCGTAGTCCTGATTGAGCAAAGTTATTGGTTTATAAAGAGCCTGCGGCTAAGTGAAAAAAAATGGCTATTTATTAACTTGAAGTCGCCAAAGGTAAATTAACCACCATAGCGCGTTTGTGAAGCTGACGTTTTGGGCATTAGCCCCTCTGTGCTACATTCCTGACTGGCTTACTGTTCCTCAGCTACCGTAATAATTGGCTCTGTGATGGCGTTTGATTGGTTTTTGCTTCAGTTNTATATTTATTCTTATATTTACTGTGGCTTTATACAGTAGCTAAGTTAACTTTATATATATTCCATTTACCAGGCTATTATCACTTCTAATGGATCACTGACAACTAACTACAAATACATCGCAGATCTGAGGAAAAGGTAAACCAAATATACTTGTAAGTTAGGGTGAATTTCTAAGTGTTCACTTCTCTTTTGATTTAAAATGCTGGGAGCTTGGTAGCCGGTATTATACATTAAGTGCTCAGGCATCCAGGAGGATTAGAAATGCATTCTTGTAGAAGCTTATTAATTATATTCCCCAGAAAAGAATTATTTCAGGATCTTATAATATTATTGGCAATAAGCTGCCAGGCTTGAACTAACTTATCAAGAAAACTGAGTTTAATTCCAGGAATATGGAATTTCTAATATTAGTATATAGCGAGCTGTTCTTTAGCACTGAAGTCATATTTTGTTTCTGTTTGTGCCACTTTTCTTAGGCAAGAGGAAGCTAAAGCAAGAGCATTGGGACCAAATGTATCTGTGCCAATAGCACAGAGAGTTCTGTTACTTGGGTCTGGGTTTACTGTGGCCCCATGTATTGAATATCTTACAAGGGACAAAACTCTTGCAGTCACAATTGGTGAGTGACAGTTTGTTTAAAGTTGACGTTTAAAAGCATGACAACAAGAGTGGCAGCTCATTTATCTTAGGGGTCATGAATGGTTAAGTTGAGGATTTGTTAGATGGTGTAACAAAAAAGTATCTTTTCTGCAATTAAGCCCAAGAGTTTCTTAGCATTGTAAAAGGAGGCATCCAAAAATAAAGTTGTTAAATACATTAAATTTGACTAAAGTTCTGCAGCAAAGATATAATATGAATGCCAGTTGCATACCCAACCATCTGATCTTGTCAATATGGTACTTTGATTACAATGTAGTTGTTTCTACTATTCAACACATTTCAGCCTCTGATAGTATCACTGAAGCAGAAGCACTTGCAGCCAAGTACAGGAACACAACTCCAACCCTCCTGGATGTCACACAATCAGAGGAAAAGTTGAACAAGTTGATCCAGCAACATGATGTTGTAATTAGGTAAAAGTGTATAGTGTAATGATTAATACTTGTGATCACCTCTATCTTTTTATGCTTGTACACTTCATGCAGCTTGAATAAGGTGAATAGCTTGAGCATTGTTCTCTTTGAACATCTCTTCCTAGATGGGATGCAGGGTTCAACTTTCAGGGAAAAACCTTGGGGCCAGCTGGCCCCTAAGTTTTCAGATTTAGTCGCCAGCAAAAGTATTTCAGTGAAAAGGGTGAAAAGTTAGTCACCAGTGAAAAAGTGAAAAAAAAAAAATTGGTCGCATTGGCCACCCCAGTGGTTGCAATGTCAAGCTCTGGGGTGGGATCACATGAATAATTTCCCCCGTGAAGTAGTTTGCTTCAGTTTTTTTATTGTGTTTCTTAAGAATGCATTGATTTTGATGGCCAGCCTTAAACCTGGACCTCTTTATCTTGGAATCTATGCAGTTTCTTTCAGTCCAGTGCACCTCCTATAGTGTCTTTAAATAGGCGTTTCCAGTTTTGTTGATTAAAATATGCCATTTTGATTGCAGTTTGCTTCCTTACTCTTTGCATCATGTTGTGGCCAAGAGTTGTATCGCCTTTAAAAAGAACTTGTTAACAACAAGCTATGTACTGCCTGCCATAGAAGAACTACACCAGAGGTACCAGATAACATCAGTTACTGTAACATCATAACATGAATCAGTGAATCAAATCGCTTGTGAGCTCCTGACTGTAATTCAAAGTGTGCTATAATTGATTTAGACAATGTTTTCACATTTTTATGTTAGTTTAATCTCAGCTTCTCAGCAATAAGTAGCCGATAATTATTATAATGCACTCTATTGACTTGGCACAAAGTTTCTTATCTATCTCTCTGACAAACAAAGGCTTTGATTGGCTGAATCAACACATCACAAGTATCACAGGAGGCCTGCTTATTCCTTCCTCCTCCCTCTCCCCTAATTGTTCCTCAAGAAGTTGGGAAATGTTGTGAAATTTTGGTAATTGGGAACTTCTAAATCCGGGGCTGAGCATTGTCACTCCAGGTCCCTGCTTGCATGCATTTCTGGATAAACTACTGCAACTACATGCAACTGACAACCAAGATCAATACATGTATGTCACAAATTCTTGTGAAAAATTCAACAAGTTCAACAACTCACTGAATGGTAGTGGTACAATATGCAGTAAAATGTTGAAAGGGCTTGCACCACATTAAACTAACTACAGTCATCATTATATATGAATATGAATGTTTTATTGTGTTTTATGGAGCTTTGGATTTTTTCTGTTGAAAGTGCTGTTGATGCTGGAATAGCCATTGTGAACGAGGTGGGACTGGACCCTGGTATTGATCACATGTTAGCCATGGAGTGCTTTGATGATGTTAAAGCTGAGGGAGGAGTGGTATGCTGGACTATTTGACACTTTGAGCTTGATTGAACAGTCTTGTTAGTTACGTTGTTGAAGCAGTTTGATTTTAGTGTTAAACAGGTTTTCCCATGTGTAATGTGGTTTTCAGGAAGTGTTTTTAAAAATGAATAGGAAATGCCAGTTAACAAACAGATCACAGTCCAACAATTTCATTCTTCCAATGGATGGGTCTTAGCTTACCCGTGTAAGGTCACAAATCATCCACACTGATTGTCACACATTGTTTCACAATTGCAAGTACTTCACAACATAACTCCCTGTGTTTTTGATGATTTTCCTTATTCTCATCACCAGTCTTGTTGACAGTTTATTGGTAGTGTAATGAGAAATTACATGTACATGTAGACAAGAATCAATACTGCAACTAATGGACACCCTTATTCAGGTGTAAATTAACTGTACAGGGACTCCACTCATCTTTCTCTTATGTTATGTATAGATCAAGTCCTTTCGCTCATACTGTGGCGGACTTCCTGCTCCAGAGCACGCTGACAATCCTTTGAGATACAAGTTCAGGTACATGTATATATGCAAACGTGCTATAGTTTAAACAGTGTTTTTGTCAAATATGACAACAACAAAAAAACTGTTACCCGTCAATCTCTATTTTTAAGAGGAAACTTTGTTAGGTTATTTTTAAATGTAATTTTTATTTTAGTTCTATTTGTAGTTTTAGTTTTAATTATCGTTTTAATGTTTCAGAGTTGGCGTGATGTCCATTGGATGTTGCTGACAAAATAATATTTAGATTTAGATTTAGATTTAGATATGTGGAGGTCATATACAGCATTTGCACAGAAGTCCTATACTGTGTGACACTTGTCTAACAGAAGGCAATTTCAAAACAACTTTCATAATGATCTCAGACACTCCACATAGCCAGTCAAAGATTTTAGCCTTGAACATGTTTGAATGTTTAAATCCTCAAAATTATTCTAAAAATTCTTGTTATCTATTTGTCTAAATTTAAAATTTTACTTTTGTTTACCCTTGTTGTGTGATATTTTGTTCACTAGTTGGAGTCCACGGGCTGGTCTACTGACAATTATGAACAGTGCTAAATATCTTTGGTATGGAAAGGTAAGCCGCCTGTCCTGCCAGATCTTTGGCATATAGTGTATTTAACACTGTGAAGCTTCTTTATCACTTCATTTGTACAATTAATGCAGGACACTATTCAAACACTCACGGCTAATGTTGGAAGAACAGTGGAAGATGTTTTCTGGTTTTTATACATTCACTATGTTTTTCAGCCTATCAAAAGCAAACCAAGCCCAATCATTTTGTCCTATCTTTTTCTTTGAGCTTTGTTTGGTTTATTGCATGTTACTTTTCCGCTGTGATTGGCCAGGTGCAGGGACGTAAATTTTGGTTACCTACGGTCACTATACTAACAGGTCGCATATGCTTGTATCAGACATCCTCTTTGACACTATTTCGTGCGTAATGCGTCTTCTTATAGCTTTCACCTCCGCAGAGGCTCCCTAGGGGAGGGGGAAGTGAATTGTGATTGGAAAGTCGCTCTGGGCACGTTGGGAAGTGGGAATGGGCAGGAGCCCCGCTTCTCTTCTCTCTTTTCCCTTCCCGGCGTTCCCCTCGCGGTTCCGTCATTCCTCTCCCCTGCCTCTTAACTACCAGCCCACACGGTCAAGGTATCACGATAGAGGCCTCGGCCGGAGAGAGAGTTCTTATATTGGTTTATGTTTCAGACTGTGGAAGTGGCTGCAGGTGGGGCTCTACTGGAGGAAATCAAACCAACAGACATGTTCCCAGGCTACAGACTGGAGTGTTACCCCAACAGAGACTCGACGGCGTATGGCGAACTTTACGACATCACCGCAGCGAGCACTATACTTAGGGGAACTCTCCGTTATGAGGTGCGGCGTACTTAATAAATGTTTTTATGAAATACCCCTGAGAAAATGCGTAAGTTGATTGGGGGAAAGCTGTGTTTGTATGACGCAGTACAATTCCATTAGTCTCATTGTTTGTGGCGTTTCCTTGACATGTATAATATAACATTTAAATTGCCTTGAAATGATGTTTTCCCTCTGAAAAAATCTAGACTTCAAATAATGAACAACAGTGTGCAAACTAAAACAAAGTGAAGCAGAAGAGTCAGTATTATCATTTGTGTGTAAAGTCAGCTCAAAAGGTATTGACGTTGGCAAAGTGTGGTATATTAATAGACCATTTCCGAATTACCGTTAGCCTCTTTCTCAAAGCGAGTCTTGGTGCCCATCCTTTCATATGAAAATGAAATTTCATTTACATGCAAATCAAATTTATTTTCATATGAATGGTTGTGCACCAGGCCTCGCTTTGATAGAGAGACTTAGGTCAACGTTGCGTAGGCCTGTCGACCTTTTCCTGATGGATGCAACTTCTTGGTTGGATTTTATTCTTCAGACGAATAAACTTCGATTTTGTCATTGCCCTGCTTGCGAGATATCTGCTATGCACTTGTTTTTGTAGGGATATGCCACAGCCTGTTTGGCTCTGTTACAACTTGGAATGTACAGTTCAACAGAACGACCTGATCTGGCCTTAGCTCACGAACAACCCTGGGTAAAATAGTGTTTCTTAACTTTAAAAGAGTTACATCTATTCACAACAGTGGAGTTTGCGCGTGTTGTTTTACAACGTGCTTTAACCGATCAGCGTGACGATGTTAAGTCACGTGTTGAACGAATCTTGATTTTGACTCACGTGACTTCTTCTCGCGCTTGGCACCTGTCACATGTCGCGTAGTCCTGATTGAGCAAAGTTATTGGTTTATAAAGAGCCTGCGGCTAAGTGAAAAAAAATGGCTATTTATTAACTTGAAGTCGCCAAAGGTAAATTAACCACCATAGCGCGTTTGTGAAGCTGACGTTTTGGGCATTAGCCCCTCTGTGCTACATTCCTGACTGGCTTACTGTTCCTCAGCTACCGTAATAATTGGCTCTGTGATGGCGTTTGATTGGTTTTTGCTTCAGTTCTGTCAAAAGAAAACCGCTCTATGGCTCGTGGAGCTTACTGTGCTCTATATTCTCTTTACAGAGACAAGTGCTCGCCAAACTTGTAGGCAAACCAGACGCCAGTGACTCTGAGCTGCATTCAGTTGTGTTTGAGAAAGTGGGCAAAGATCCAGCTCGTATGCAGGCTATCAAAGAGTAAGCACACGTTTAAAAGCTAGAAATATTATACAAAATAAATAGAGTAAATCTTGTTCTACACGGGACTTTCTGAGGTGGTTTTAAAACGCGACGTTTCAGGCAGTGTTACTGCACTTCAGGCACCGAAGTTCCAGCTGAATATGGCGGACTTTGTTGTCTTTTGCGAGCATGTTCCATATTGAGCTGGAACTTCGGTCACGATCAAGATGGCTGCTTCTATTATCCCTTAGCAGTTATCCTGACAAGACAAGCCAGATTGCGAGCAATTATCTGTGCATCATTTGGCTGTTTTTAACGTGAATTTTATTTAATTTTTTCGTTTTTCTTCCAGTCTTGGTCTTCTCTCTGACGAACCTGTTCTTCAACAAAGAACGCCACTGGACACTCTTTGTTTGTACCTTACAGAGAAACTTGCCTATGGTATGTTGAAGCGTACCGGTTGTAGAGTAGAGGCCTTAAAAAATTATTTACGGTAACAGTAATTATAACACTATGGCAATTGATTTCGTTTCCGTCTATTTTAAGAATTTTTAAGCAACAGATTTTCTTTTTTTTCACATCAGGAGAAGGAGAACGCGACATGGTTTTACTTCAACATGACATCGGTTTAGAGTTACCTGATAAAACACAGGTGCGTCATTGTTATAATATGCTAATTTGCGGAACATTCGTTATGTGTACACCTATATTCTGTAACGGCTATGTCGTGTAGGCCCCGTCCACATTTAGCTGGAGGAATTTAGAACCGCCGCTGACAATCACCGGTCATTGGATTTGTGTTTGAGGAAAACACGGGCAGGGAAGTCACGTGATTATCGTAACTACGTCGTTTTCGAAAAGCTACGTTTTCAAAACGTTTTACGTCCACGCGCAAACGAAAAGCTGGCATTTTGAAATGACGTATTAGTATCTTGTGACGGATTAGTGCGGACGGTAGGCCTAACCGTGGAAATAAAGCCGGCGTATTCAAATTCCTCCGGTTTGAAGAGCGTTTTCGAAAACTAGCTCCGTTTTCGTGACGGATTAGTGTGGACAGTAGGCCTAACCGTGGAAATAAAGCTGCGTTTTCAAATTTCTCCGGCGTAGTGTGGACACTGTCTTATGCTACACCTGTGTGATATATCTATCATATTTGTAACGCGTTCAATTTTTTTGTATCAAGTTGTCGGATGAAACCTTGAGTTTGTCTTTCTCTATAAAGAAAGAAAACACCTTGCAAGTAGAAAGGAACTTATTTCAACATTATATCAGTTTCATCTCATGAGTGATGATCACTGTCGGTGTGCTGGTGACTACTTGTGCAATTTGGCAGTATGTTTGTTTTCCTGGCCGAAAAGTATCGTGAACAAGTTCAAAACTATATGAAACGACTGGCATTAACGAGCCAGTTGGAAATTTTAATGAAAGAAATAAATTGTGCCAATGACTTCCACATCATTTTGAACCACAGGAAAACCGTCGAATTGACATGATTTGTTATGGTGATCCACATGGTCACTCAGCAATGGCACGTACTGTTGGGCTTCCTGTGGCGATTGCTACAAAGATGGTACTGGATGGTAAGTAATGAAATACATAGAATATTAATAGAGAACCCGAAGATGTGGATTTTATATTCGAGTTAGAGTGAAAAGGGTACTGAAATTATATCTGATCATTTTTTACCCTAACCATTCTATAGCGACGTTGTCCAACAAGTTTTGACGAACCTATCTGAAGTTCTGGACTAAAAGAAACGAACGACTCTAGGAACGAAATTTGAAACAGTGGCAGAGCAAATCCCTTGTCTAGAGTCTTTCCTCGCCAGTTTGACGAAACTATATCTCGGTTATTTCCCGTCTTGTTGTTCTGACACTCTCTGTTGTATCATTGCAGGGGACTTGAAAGCCAAAGGTGTTGTTCGACCTCTTAGCCGCGAAATTTACAAGCCATTGCTCACCCGACTCAAAGCGGAAGGAATAGACAGTGAAATGACGACAACGGTTCTGTGAGACGAAAATCCAAGAAGTAGAAAAAACGGAAGCAAACTACTGGGTCGCCTAAAGAGACCCCAGTTTTTGTGTTCTAAGGATTTTTTTTTCTGTTTAATTCAAGTGTGAAAGTTTAGATGGAAGGGTTTTGTAGTGGAATACTGTAGGCAGCCTGCCAGAATTTTGGCCCGGATTTGGTTCATATGGAGTGAACCTTAAACATACCGCTTAGTCGTTGACAAGGAAATCTGGATAAAAGCAGAGAGAACGAGGTTCACGGGAACTGGGTACGAGGTTGATCGCCCGTGAATTTCATGGTGATATTCTAAGAAGAAATTAGCTAATGGTCACTTTCGGGGATGAAAGTGTCTTGAATTGTTATAGTAGCGAGGAAGCACTCTTTTGGATAAACTATTTACAAGGTTTTGAGCAGTTATTACGTGATGTTTATTTTTAGAGTCACGCAAGATTCATCGAACCAAAATATTCTTTATACTTATTTATTGGTTTAATTGTACCGCATATACCTATGTGGTAACTTCTAAGACTTCGAAAGTCATCTTAACGTAAATGTCTGGTAGTAAAGGACTGTAAGATAGATATTTTCTTCAGTGATGTAAGTATAAGACAAATCTGTTACTACTGCTGAAAGTCTGATTATTTTTTATACACAAATGGCTTTTTTATATATTTAAAGCTATTTAAATTTCAAACGAGGCCCCGAAAGAGGCTCTCTTGAAATAGTACTTCACTAACTGCTTTGCCGATGTTTGGCAAATCGTTGCAGAAAGGCCCGGAGGAGCTTTCGATTCTTCTTATTCGATCAAATCGTAGTTACTCTAAAGTATTATTTACTTCGGTGAAGCGCCAGTTGAGATTTCATGTTGCTTAGTAACCTCTGACAAAAGCTCAACTTTCGACTGGAGGAAAAGGTATTGAACGTAATCTGACAAGAGAAAAACTCTCTTGAATTTTAACGATATAT